CACACTGGCTATCCTCTTTTAATTGTATAGATGTCTTTGTTTAGATGAGTAAGCTTATATGTAATGTATGGCCCCTAATTCCGACTATTGACATTAAAGGTCTGAGTAGTCATATGACAAAATATTAAGTCCAGCATAGCAAGCAGTGTCTCCTAGATCTTTATCAAGACTACGTTGGGTTCACGGGTCATTTGGTAAATACTAAGTTCTCAACTCTTATATCCCTCTAATGTATACCCTCCTGCTGTTTTCAGTGCTTGTTTTATTTATTTGTCTGCTTTCTATTGTATTACTAAGTAAAAGAATAAAAAATGTATTATAAAAAAAAAGAGGCTCCCAAATACTGGTCACCCAGTATGCAGGGATGTCAGCCTGCAGGAGGGACCTGGGGACCCCCCAGGATTCCAGCTCATCTCCAGACTCAGAGATCAGTTCCCCTGGAGAAAATGGCTGTTTTGGAGGGTGGACTCTGTGGCATTTGTACCCCACTGAGGTCCCTGTCCTCCCCGGGCTCCATTCCCAGATCTCCAAACCTTTCCCAGCCTGGAGCAGGCAACCCTATCCACCTGCTGGTGGCCAGGCGGGACCCTATCACCCAGTCACTGAAAATCATCACCATCTTCTGGAGAAACTGGCAATTGGGTGTGCATGGTCTCTGGTAGGCAGCATTTCCTAATGTCCTTAATAGAAGGGGAAGTAGAGATTGGATTTATACCCTGCCCTTCACTCAGCGCCTCAGAGCAGCTTACAAACTCCTTTCCCTTCCCCTCCCCACGACAGACACCATGTGAGGTAGGTGGGGCTCAGAGAGCTCTGAGAGAACTGTCCTTGAGAGAACAGCTCTGAGAGAACTTGTGACTGACCCAAGGTCACCCCAGCAGCTGCAAGTGGAGGAGTGGGGAACCAAACCCGGTTCTCCCAGAGGCGCACTTAACAATTAAGGATGGCAGAATTGGAACTCCCAGCGTAAACTGCCCTTTACGTGGCTTATCAAAGTAGTATGCGGCTCACATATACTTGGTTAATAGTTTGCATATGCAGAATGCGGGGGGGGGGTGCATTGGATATTATTCTGAAGTCCTGCATCTTTGAGGCTAGTCAGAGAAGCAAGTACGCTTGTTTTTTTTTTTGGGGGGGGTCTCCCTTTCATTACACTTGATTATCTGCTTTTTTAAAGAAGTAGGAGTTGTGCTCTCAGCCAGAGTCTCTTGACAGACAATTTTCAGTACAAACTAAAAAATAAAGCCATGTCCTGAATATAATAAAACCAGGATGTATATATTATTACCCTGACCTGGATGGTTTAGGCTAGGCCGATCTCACCAGATCTCTAAGCAGGGTCGGTCCTAGCTGGGACTCTGATGGGAGACCCCCCAAGGAAGCCCAGGGTTACTGGGCAGAGGGAGGCCATGGCAAATCACCCCTGAACACCTCTTGCCTTGAAAACCCTGCGGGGTCGCCATAACTCTTCTGGGAATTGATGACACTTTCTACCATCAAGGTAGCCCAGACCTGAATGGTGCAGGCTAGCCAGGTCTTGTCAGATCTTGGAAGCTAAGCAGGGTCGGCCCTGGTTCGTACTTGGATGGGAGACTACCAAGGAAGCCTGGGGTCGCTACGCATAGGCAGAAAACGGCAAACCACCTTTGAGCATCTCTTGCCTTGAAACCCCTGTGGGGTCACCGCAAGTCAGCTGTGAATTGACAAAAGAAAAGTGTGTGCACATGTGCATACACACACATGTAGAGAGGTGAAATTTCCGGAAATTTTGAAACTCGGGGAACAGAAATTTTCGGAAAAATTGAAAAAAATGCTACATTAGCATTTCTTTTGTCTTTTCTAGATTGAAAGTCATTCTGTTACTTTAGGAACATAAAATATGACTATGGACATTTTTACTTGGCATGAGATTATCACAACTAGCATATTAAAAATATAATGTATCCAAACAATTATTACAAACAGAATACCCACCCACATGCAAAAGCAAAACTGAAACCTTTTTATTTTCTTCTGACAATCGCACCTCCTAAAGGAAGAAATGCATCTTGTTCTTGCATTGGAGAGTTCTGTTTGTAACCTAGGACTTGCTTGTCCTCAGTGCACAGAAATTAGATCAATCTGATACCATATATATATATTAGAAATGATTTGGAAAATATTTGAACACCTTGTCTTAAAATATTTTATTCATCATGTTAAAATAAATCTTTTTTCCCCCTTTTTTCTTTTCTTTTTTTCAATTTTTCCAATTTTTCAGGAAAAAACAAAAAGGCTTCAAGAAAAAAAACGGAGGAAAACCGTTTCCCCCCCGAATTTTTCTGGGTTTTTTCCGGGCCTTCACATCTCTACACACATGTATAAAAGTAGCAACCACTAGGTTTGCCTGGGAAGTCTGCCTGGGAGATGACAAGATTTTACCTGAGCGAGAGTCATCCCAGGTTTATTCTTGCCAGCTGAGCAGTATCCGTGGCGAGACAGCCGGTGCCAGAGAAACCTGGGACTGACGCCCTGCTGTGAAAGCCAGTGTGTGCTCTTGGGCCAGTTGCTTTAACATGGGAACCACCTGGGTTCCGATTCCGACCTGGCCACGATGTTCCCTGGGCGGGCGCGGTTTTTAGCCGCACTCTCTCAGCCAAGCCTAGGTGTCTTGGTTAAAATGGAGGAGGGGACAATTATGTACTTACAAAGGGTCAGATTCCCCCCCCCCAAAAAAATGTAAAGCCACCTACTTCACAAGGTCATTGTGATTATACAATCATATAATCTCTGTGCACGCTGCTCTGAGCTCCTTGGAGTCAGGGAAGGGTAAAAATCTTTTGTCAGTTGCTTTTTAAAAATATCTAGTCCTTACAAGGTACGCGGGACGGCTTATGGGAATCTTTCCTCCGCCGTTTTAAACGCACGACAGCCTTATGGGGTAGGCTAGGCAGAGAGAGTAACTGGCCGAGGGTCATCCAGTCAGCCATGTGACTGAAAGGGGATGAGAACTCTTGTCTCCCAAACCCTAGGCCAACACTCTAACCGCTTGCTCAATTAAAATACTGCCTTTGCCGGGGGAGTTGTCTTTCCATTAAAACGAAGGCCATTTAGAGATGATATGTCTCCCGTTTGCTGGACGAATGTCCCATTAGAACCTTTAAATTGGTGAGAAGGAGAGAAGGGATGCCTTCTGATATAATTTGTCAGAATTCTTTTTTTAAAAGCAGCATAGTGTAGTGGTTAGAATGCTGGACTAAGATCTGGGAGACTCAGGTTTGAATCCTGACTCTGCCGTGGAAACTGGCTGGGCAACCTTGGGCCAGTCGTTCGTGTTCGTTCTCGTTCTCTCTCTCTCCCTCTCTCCCCCCCCCATTCTGTTTTATTGAAGAACTGGATTACAAATAAAGATTACCTCTCTCTGCCTAACCTACCTCGCAGGGTAGTTGTCGTGAGGATAAAATGGAGGAAGTGTGTTGTAAGCAATGCTCCATCTAAGATTTGGAGTCTTGTGAGCAAAAATTCTCCTTTGTGAGCTACTGGCATCCAAGCTGTGAGCAAGCGATTTGGCTACTGCATCAATTAGTTTGCTCTGGAGCAGTGTTCCCTCTAAGCTGAGTTAGCGTGAGCTAGCTCACAGTTTTTTAGCCACCGGCTCACACATTTTTGTCTTAGCTCAGGGAGGATGGCTCCACAGCAAACTTAAGTGATGCAGTAGCCCAATCACCTGCTCACAACTTTAATGCCGGCATCTCACAAAGTAGAATTTTGGCTCGCAGGACTCCACAGCTTAGAGGGAGCATTGCTCTGGAGCCCTCCTTCCGGAGCGACGGCAAAAAATGTGTGAGCCAGAGGCTAAAAAACCGTGAGCTAGCTCACACGGACTCAGCTTAGAGGGAACACTGGTTGTAAGCTGCTTTGGGTTCCTGCTGGGGGGCAAGAGGGGGGAGAAGGCTATAAATATCCGAGTAAATAAAACAGTTGCTAGCAATGTTCCCTCTAAGCTGTGAAGTCTTATGAGCAAAAATTCTACTTTGTGAGCTTCTGCCATTAAAGTTGTGAGCGAGCGATTTGGCTGCTGCATAAATTAGTTTGCTCTGTAGCAATCTTTCCTGAACAAAGACAAAAATGTGTGAGCCGGAGGCTAAAAAACTGTGAGCTAACTCACACTAACTCAGCTTAGAGGGAACATTGGTTGCTAGTTCTGCAGGGCCGGTGGTTCCCTGCATTGCAGAAGGCAAAGCGAAGAATTCACCCCCCTCCTTTTCTGCCCTGTCACGTTTGGCAGTTCCATCGAGGACAGAGCAGAGACTGGACTTGGGCGGCTCGATGCTCCTTGTGCAACTCGGAGCGGAAAGAACTCCCCCCCCCCACGCGCAAGCCTCTTGCCGCTTAGAATAGTGTGAGGCAGAGAGGAACCATCACCTTTCTGTCAGCCAGCTGGGGATTGCTTGGATGTGTGTCTTGGCAGGGGCTCTCCGGTGGTGGCTCCACTTCAGCTGGGAAGAACCAGAGCGCTCCTTGCATCAGCCTCGCCTCCCCCTTGGCTTGGGTCAGCCGGTTGCAGGAAGCATAGCAGAGCGCACCTACGCACAGTGGCCACGAGAAAAAGGGCAAAAAGGTGTAAGGATTGCAAAAAAATACCCCCCAAAAGTCCATGAAAATATAACAAACATATTTATGTTCCTTGCATCTTTGTTTTTTCACTCGTGTGCTGCGTCATTCAGAGTCTAGTCGGGGGAAGGGCCGAGACTTCATTTCTGAACTTCAGAGAAAGCTAAAATCCTCAGCAGAAGTTGCCAAAAAAATAGTTTTCGATCTGCTAGAAAGCAGGGGTGTCTGGCCATCCGCTGATGGTCCTAGAGCGCGGGAGCCCTTAACGTGGCAAGTGTGTCTTTGCCTCCCTAAACTGTCCCAAGTTACTAGAATCCACCGCTGTCTAAACAGTAGAAAAGATGGCAAATTGACATTCACAGACGCAGCATCTGACAGTGTATTTCGCTTTTGTTACAGTTTTCATCATGGGTGACATGAAAACCCCAGACTTCGATGACCTGCTGGCTGCTTTCGACATTCCCGACCCAACCAGCCTCGATGCCAAGGAAGCCATCCAGACGGCCGGCGAGGAGAACGAAAACCACCTGAAGCAGTCCGGAATCGGCATAGATGAGAACGCATCCCTGTCTCATGCGGCGCCAGCCTCTGACGTGCCGGTGGTGAGCGTCATCGTGAAGAACACGTGTCGCCAGGAGTCCTTCGAGGCAGAAAAGGAAGGTAACCATCTAGGCCCCGGCCTGCTGCACAATGGATTCCGCGGCTCCGATCTGCCCCTGGAGACTCACAGTTACAGTAAGTTTGATTCCGCTTTCATCAATGGGGACAGCCTGAGAAGCTACCCCGAGAAGCCGGAACAGGCCAAGTCGGAGCCGCTGCCCACGTTCAGTCAGTTCAGCCCCATCTCCAGCCCCGAGCCGGATGATGCGCTCAAAGAGAACAGTATTGTAGATAGACCGAAACTCTCCCAGACTCCCTACTTCCAACCCCATCCGATGTATATTCCCTCCGGGTCGTCCATGTTAGACCTCCTTAGTAGGACCCTCCCGGAACCGGAGTTCAGTAGGTTCATTTCGACGGGGCCCTCGCTGCTAGATCTGCTGAGTAAGAAACTGCCGGAACCGGAACTGAGTATGTTCGATCAATACTGCAAAAGAGATCCAAAGATAGACGTGCACGGGCTGCAAGAATGTAGGGTGGACGCTGGCCGGCGGGACCGCGACAAGAGCCCGGAGAAACACGATGCGCCCGGCAGAGACCCCACGGACACAAACAGCTTCCTCGGGGAAGGGGTGCCCCTCGGTAACTTCCACAGCAATAACCTGGCAGAGAGCAAAGGGCCCGCGCCGGAGATAAACTTCTCTTCCGCGGTCCCTCCTCGCCAGCGGATAAAGCCTGCCCACTCCAAACTCTCGTCCTGCGTCGCTGCGCTCGTCGCCCTCCAGGCCAAAAAAGTCGCAGGCATCGCGAAAGACGACCAGGCGACTCCGGTGAAAGAGCCGCCGGGCCCCTTCAAGGACGGCGTTAAAGGAAGCCCCAAAATGCCCAAGTCACCAAAGAGTCCGAAAAGCCCCCTTGAGATGGTGAGGAAGGCCAACAAGCAGCCTGAGTCCCCCCGGAGCGTGTGCAGCGACAGCAGCGGCAAAGGGTCTCCTTCCGTGGCCACCGGCTCTCCGCCCGCCATCCCCAAGGTCAGGATCAAGACTATCAAAACCTCTTCCGGGGAAATCAAACGGACGGTCACGAGGATCCTGCCGGAGATGGATGAACTGGGCAAGTATCCCCTAGAATCCCCCGCAGAGAGCTTGGTGACGGAAGAGTTTGTGAAGTCTCTCCCTTCCCCAGAAGCCGGCGCGTCCGTGGAAACAGAGCCGTGCGAGGGTTTTGCGAAAGCGGCTCCTCAGGAGGCAGCCCTCGCGAGCCCCCAAGCAGACAGTATCGTCGCAGACATTCCCGTCAACAGCACCTCCAGTTTCTCTCTGCTGGCAGACTACGGTGCAATCAAAGCCGGGCTCGCGGGCCAGCAGCCGGGCAAGAAGCAGCCGCAGGGCCCGGTGACGCAGCCCTGTAACCCCGCCAGCCTCCTCCCGAAGGCCGTGCACCTCGCCAACCTCAACCTGGTCCCCCACAGTGTGGCCGCCTCCGTGGCGGCGAAATCTTCCGTGCAGCGGCGCGGCCCGTCCCAGCTGACGCAGATGACGGTGCCGCTGGTCCACCAGGTGAAGAAGGCCGCCCCGCTGGTCGTCGAGGCGTTCCACAAAGTGTTGCACGGTGCCAACCCCGTGCCGATCTACGCCCCCAACCTCAGCCCTCCCCTCGACAGCAGTATTCAGTTGCCCGTCTCCGGGTATTGCTGCCTGGAGTGCGGGGACTCGTTTGCCTTAGAGAAGAGCCTCACACAGCATTACAGCCGCAGGAGCGTCCACATCGAGGTCCTGTGCACCCAGTGTTCGGCCACGCTGCTCTTCTTCAACAAGTGCAGCCTGCTCAAGCACGCGCGGGATCACAAGAGCAAGGGCTTCATCATGCAGTGCTCGCAGCTCTTCATGAAGCCCATCTCCGCAGACCAAATGTTCCCGCCTTCCCCGACGAGCTCATCGGCCTCTTCAGCGCCACAGGCCTCGCGGCTGCCCCCCCTCTCGCAAAAGTCCCGCTCCGCCTCGGGAAGCCCGGGGGCGGGGGGGCCCCCAAACCCTCAGCCCCCGCCGGCTCTGCCTCTGTACACGGACCCGTTGAGACTGATTCGCCATGGATTAAAGTGTTTTGAATGTAATAAGCAGGCGCTGGACTACGTCGCCCTAGCCGCGCATTATCAGAGGACCTCGGAAGACAACGAGGGGCTGGTAAGTCGCTTTCTAGAGGTCTGAGCGACCTTCTGTTGAGTTTGGTGTAGTGGTTGAGAGCAGCAGACTCTACTCTGGGAGAACTCCTCCACATGCAACTGCTGGTGTGACCTTGGGTCGGTTGTGAGTTCTATCAGAGCTGTTCTCTCAAGGGCAGTTCTTGAGAGAGCTCTCTCGGCCCCACCTACTTCACAGGGTGTCTGTTGTGGAGAGGGGAAGGGAAGGAGATCGTAAGCTGCTCTGAGACTTGGAGTGGAGGGCGGGGTATAACTCTAATCTCCTCCTCCTCCTCCTCCTTCTCTCCTCCTCTCCTCCTCTCCTTCTTCTTCTTACCAAAGAACTGTCAATGTACATTAAGCTGAGCACAAGATGCACATTGCCGAATCATTCCGTGCCCTTAGAATCAATACCAGGGGTCCCCAACATTTTTGAGCCTGTGGGCACCTTTGGAATGCTGACACAGTGTAGTGGGTGTAAGCTCCAAAATGGCTGCCACGGGAGGTGGAACACCAGCTCCAAGACGGTTGCCCCATCTTATCTTCAGTCACAGAGTGAATACCCCTTGGTGGCAGCTGCTGCCAAAGCAACATGTTGAAAAACTGATCGCCAATCAAATAGCCAGTGGCCCAATTGAAAGACTCGCTGGCGAAAGCAGCACCCAGACCTGCCCACTTTCTAAAAGCACTCGGTGGGTGCTGGAAAAGGTCTTGGCAGGCGCCCGTGGGCACCACGTTGGAGACCCCTGATCTATATGCTGTATACACTTTAAGGCAGCCTATGGAAAAGAGGACAGAGGGGGTTTAATGTGAAATATAACTGTGGTCCTGAGCTGTTTGGTGCCCTGAAATGTACAGTCAAACCCGCACTGGTGCTTCAGTTCCAGTCACTGGGGAAGCAGATGAGTGATTAAGGTATCCTTTCTTATAACAGGTCTGTTTGTATGCCTTCAGGTTTGGCATTTTTTACTTAGCACCTTGTCCCTCCTCTAGCCAAAAATATTGACCAGTCTTGGGCTTCTTGGCTCAGTCCCATGTATAGACCGTTGCTTGTGCTATAGGAAGCAAGACTTCAGTCTACAATAACGGGTTTGGATAAGAGCGGCTGAGAGCCATGCACAGGCTCCGTATCTTCCCTGGAGGTATTTGCCCTGTCACTGATGAAGGCTGTGTCCAGACATCCAGATTAACCACCATTAAGTTGAAGCGTGCATGGGTCCGGTTTGGGCAGAGAGAAAACCAGGTTCAGCTAACCCAGGCACGAAACCCCGACCCAGAATCAGGTTGCCTACGAATGATTTAGCACCAGGTTCCCCACGAACATGCGGTGCGCTCCGGGCGAGAGGCAGCCCCCTTCTGACCACGCTCCAGATCTATATGTCACAGATAACTGGATAGATTCAGGTGGGTGGCCGTGTTGATCTGAAACAGCGGAACAAAGTTTGAGTCCAGTGGCACCTTTAAGGCCAACAAAGTTTTATTCTGGGTATAAGCTTCTGTGTGCACACTTGTCTGTCTTGTCTGTCTATCTATGTATCTATCTATCTAGTTTATACCCCGCCCTCTCCACCAAAGCAGGCTCAGGGCGCTTACAGAAATTCTTCAGGTACATTCAGGGGGGTAGCTGTGTTGGTTTGGTGTAGTGGTTAAGTGTGCGGACTCTAATCTGGGAGAACCGAGTTTGATTCTCCGATCCTCCACATGCAGCTGCTGGCGTGACCTTGGGTCAGTCACAAGCTCTGGCACAGCTGTCCTTGAAAAAGAGCAGTTTCTGTCAGAGTTCCCTCAGCCCCACCCACCTCACAGGGTGTCTGTTGTGGGGAGGGGAAGGGAAAGGAGTTTGTAAGCTGCTCTGAGATACCTTTGGGTAGTGAAGGGCGGGGTATAAATCCAGTCTCTTCTTCTTCTTCTTCTTGGTTTGAAACAACAGGACAAAGCTTGAGTCCGGTGGCACCTGTAAGATCAACAAAGTTTTATCCTGGGTATCAGCTTTTTGTGTGCTTGCACACTTCTTCAGATACCGGTAACGAGTTAGTCTGAAACACTTCCCTGTCATCGCTCTCTGTGTGAGGAGTCAGATGTACAAGTTGGGTTGAAGTGCATTCTCTTGGATGTCTGCAGCCAAAACATACCAAGGGTCTTCAGTTTTGACTTGTTTTCTGTACATCTGTTCTTCTTTCTTGAAAATACTGCTGTTTGTGTTTGTTAAGTGCTGTCCGGTCACTTCCAACCTATGATGACCCTGTGAATTAGTAAGGTAAAGGTAAAGGTTTCCCCTTGCTCGAAAGCCAGTCGAATCCGACTCTAGGGGTGCGGTGCTCATCTCCGTTTCCAAGCCAAAGAGCCAGCGCTGTCCGAAGACGTTTCTGTGGTCATGTGGCCGGCATGACTAGACGCCAAGGCGCACGGAACGCTGTTACCTTCCCACCGAAGTGGTACCTATTCATCTACTTGCAATTCCTTGCTTTCGAACTGCTAGGTTGGCAGGAGGTGGGGCCAGAGATGGGAGCGCACTCCGTCATGCAGCACTTGGGTCTTGAACTGCCGAACTACCGACCTTCTGGTCTGCACTTCAGTGTCTTAACCTCTGAGCCACCGTAGCCCCTCCAAAATGCCCTATTGTTTAACAGCCTTGTTCAGGACACGCAAACAGAGGGCCGTGGCTTCCCTGATTGAATCAATCTGATGTTGGGTCTTCTAATTTTCCTGCCGCCTTCCACTTTTCCTAGTGTCGTTGTCTTTTCCAGTGACTTTCGTCTTTTCATAATGTGACCAAAGTACCTGCCTCCCTATAAAAAATTAGCACTGTCACTGGATCAAGGGAATCTTAATCTTGAGGTTTAGTTGATTAATCAAGTAAAATCTAAGACAGATTTTTATCTGGATAAAATCAGGCTTCTAAAGAAGACATACCTTGTTTGGAGAGGATGCACAGCTGCATCACAGCAGGGACACTCAGAGGAGGCATTCCCTCCTGTGTGGTAGAGAGGGGGAATTCACTGCCCCAGGAAGTAGCAGCGGCTACAAGCATCCACACCTTCAAGAAGGGATTGGATAAACATATAGAGCAGAAGTCCATCAGTAGCTATTAGCCACAAGGTATAGATAGGAACTCTCAGTCTGGGGCAAGTGATGCTCTATATTCTTGGTGCTTGGTGCTTGGGGGGCAACAGTGGGAGGCCTTCTGGAGTTCTGGCCCCGCTGGTGGACCTCCTGGTGGCACCTGGGTGTCTGGCCGCTGTGTGACACAGACGGTGCGGTCAGATGGGCCGTTTAGTCCGCTTTCAGCCCGCCTCAGAAACGGATTTTATCTGCGCGATCACACAGTCAGCATCTGCCTCCCGTCCCCAGCCGTCGCTTTCCGGCTCAAAACTGCTTTAACCCTGAGTATTTTGATACCAGGTCCCGAAGTGGTGTTTTCCTGATTCTCCGGTTCCAGCCACACTTTTCTGATGTCTGATCGCTCCTGCGGTGTTGAGCCACTTTCGGTTTAAACCCCCTCCCCGCTCAAAAGCTGCCCGAGGCTTCCGGAAGTGAGTGTGATCGCAATTCTCCACATCAGGGCCGGAGCAGTTTAAACTGCTCCCAGCGTGCCGTCTGACCGCACCCAGAGTGTTGGAGTGGGTGGGCCACTGGCCTGATCCAACATGGCTTCTCTTATGTTCTAATGCCTCTTCTATGAAGATGTCCATCACCTACGTTTCTTTCTGTGTGAAGGCTTTTATTTAAAATGATTAAAATGGTTAAAAAGAATCTGCTGCCTGATTAATCAGTTTCAGAGGATGAGAATCAGCGGCAGCTTTCGATCAGTTGATCTAACTTGATTATTTCAGTTACCATTGAAGTCCCAACAAAATGCGTTAACAAAACACTACCTTTCAGACGACCCGGTTTTTAAAAAGCCCTAACGCTAAGTTCGACTGCCACTCCTCCACACACTTATTTGAAAGTAAGTTCTACTGAAATCTGTGCGACTCACCTTCCAGTAAAAGTGGTCAGGGTGAGCCATGACCCGGATAGCCCAGGCAAGTCAGATCTCGTCAGATCTCGGAAGCTAAGCAGGGCCAACCCTGGGAAGTACTTGGATGGGAGATCTCCAAGGAATACCAGGGCTGGAATGCAGAGGTAGACAATCAAGCCACCTCTCTGGAAGATGTCATAGTCCCACTAGGTGTCACCAGACATCCCCATGACTTCCAGCTTGCAAGCGCGCACACACACACAAATACTGGAAAAGGAAAAAGTAGTCAGGGTGGTGGTCACTTTAACTTCATGCAGCCTTTCTCAGGCATGTATTTAAACTCGCCACAACTCCGCCGCAGCCGTGGGGCTGATCTTCAGGCCCTCTCCCGGCTCTCCTTCCTTAATTTCCCTCCCGTCCTGTTTTGTTTTGTTTTCGCTTGCCTTGGCTGTCTTCAGTTGATCTTGTAGCTCTGTCGAAATCCACAAAGGAACCTTTGTCTCAACAAAGGGATCATTCACTGCCACTGCCTCTTGATTGGTCGCTGGCACAGGACTTTTTCGGCAGCGATCTTTCTTGCCAACTCGCTGCGTTTCTTCTGTGGCGATTTTGTTTGGTAATCTAGCTCAGCAGCAGCGGGCTCGGGAAGTTCGCGTGGGATACTCCGAACGGGGGTTCTTGCTTGTTGTATTTTCAGGCTTTTGGAGTCCTCGCGTATTAGGGAGGACAGAAGTTTTCAGAATAAAACGAAACGAACGACTAACAGCGCCCTCCTAAGCAGACAGTTTCAGAGGGCGGCCGTGTTGGTGTGCAGCGGCAGAACTCGATTCCAGTCCATTTGCACCTTAGAGGCCCGACCAGCAAGGGATTTGGGATGCGACGTTTCGAGAGGCAAAGGGAGCTTTGACGACCCTGAAAATCGTGTCGGTCTCTAAGGGAGTAACTCTGCTTGGGGTGGCTCTGGAAAGCTGGCAAAATTTCAAGCCGTTTCAGTTCAGTTGAGGGGGGAGAGGGGCAAGGCTACCTCTAAGCTTTGGAGTCTT